TTCTCAGCCTTCTTTTCTTGCTTGAAGGGGGCGAGGAGCTTTGCCAAGAGACTAGGGCTCTTGGGTCGGTCCTCCTTCTTCGTCTCAGTTGCGGCAGGTTCAGCCTACAATCGAGCCAGATGAGATACGATAGGTTAAAAGGCATTAGACACTAACAGGCTTGGCCTCCTCGGCGGCAGGCGCGTCGCCAGCAGCCTCGGCCGCGGACGCGGCCTCGGTAGCAGGTGCTTCAATGGGAGCAGCCTCCTAGCATTAAGGGTTAGGAAGGCACAACATCACAACGAAGATGAGTCTCACCTCGACCTTGGGCTCTTCCGTCGTCTCCTCCTGCCAAGGAAGGTGTGAGATCGGAATCGAAGTAACGAAGAATAGTCAGGGGCTCACGGTGGCAGCGGCGGGCTCGGCCGCAGGCTCAGCGGCGGGGGCGGCTTCGGAGGCAGGAACTTCGGTGGGCTTGACCTCCTCGACGGGAGCAGGGGCAACAACAGCGTCAGACATTACGGATGACTTAGTTGACGACGAGAACTGCAACGGGGAGATGCGACACGTCGAAGGAAAAACAGAGAAAGAAAAAGACGCGTCAATGAGGTTGAAGGAGATACGAAAGAAAAAGAAAGAAAGAAACGCACAACACTATGTATCCAAGTTCCATTCTAAGGTGACAAAATGGATACTGAATTATGCCCGTAGAGAGACCTCTCTGCGTTCAGTGATCCAGTTCTAGTTATGTAAGCATCCTTGAAGCTGCACGATTTCAGAACTTCCTAAGTACACCTTCGATAATCGTTCCATCGTATCATTACCATGTCAGAAAACCTTGCCCATCTTCACAATGTAGTTGCAACAAGAACACGAAAACGCTATAGTACAGCCTGGGATACAATGTTATTGTCTAAAGAGGGTCAGCAACTGGCCGAAGCGGTTCGAGAAAGCGCCAAAGATTATAATATGTGGGCAGCAAGCACACAGCATCGCCGGGCCAATACTGCTACTCGATTCGTGCTGATGCATACACAAGGAAAATGGAGTCATTTTTCTGGTAGAGAATTTGCTCTTGAATCAATCTTTGGTGCGTGTAGCACAATTGTATTTCGCATAATGCTCACTTAAAACTCTAGAGCGAGCTCAAGACTTTTTAACTATTTGCTGCCAAATATCCCACTCTGCTACCACTCCTCATCACAAAATGTCATTCACTTCCTTGAATACTCTTCGCTGGGATATTGCTGGTTTGGTAAGAGACTCACTTGTCATCACGTAGTGTATTGTCAATAGACTGATACACATCGGACCTTTAGATGGTCAAGTACTGTGATGAAGCTGCAGGCATGCGTGCATTGCATGAAATGTGGCGAACAAAATTGAGAGAGGTGATGCTCATTTCTAACACTACATTATATGCATTTTTACACTGGTACACACAGCATATCGAGTATCTTGGAAACTCATTGAACATTCCCCGGACTGTCAAACCTAAATCCTATTTTTCGATCCCCGAGCTGGTTCTCCTTGTAGAAACGGCTATTGCTGAGAGCCATTGTCTGGATGCGGTGCGTTAGCCTCACTATTGAATCACAGCCGAGCATCATCTACATAGCTTACTCTGTGTGTAGACTCTCGTTCATGTATTCCTATGGACAATCATGCAATTCACTGCTGCCCGCCCTGGCTCATTACTGTCTACTGCAGTTTATAAGACATGGTTTCTGCGATACCGTGTACGTACAATTAGGTTAAATAAATGTATACTCTCAATTAATTAAAATGCCAACAGGAGCTTCGTATGGTGCGCACAGACATCCGTGGTGCTTTTACAGCAGAACCTTGGCTTCTAGGATGGAAGGGAGGTCATGGTTTTGATCGCTGGCAGTGCGCTTCCCTCTGACTCCTTGCCATTATATGACACTTATAGCTGATCTGCGCTTTGTTTGCAGGCAAGCATATCGTCTTACACCAGTCAAATCTGAATCACACCTACTGTGCGAGCCTGGTCTACTTATGTCTGCTCAGGGCTTGCGCCGGCAACTTTTCCGTGATCATAACGATGTGGACAGTCTGATTGATGGGAAAGAAGCAGTCATAGCCTGGAAGCCAGAAATTGAAGACCTACCTGTGTTTGCTGCCCTGCGACCACGCGGCCGGGGGATTAATCCTGATATTCCCTTGTCTGATGATGGCGCCCGCATGTTCTTGCGCAAGATATGTATTGCTGCTGGTCTAGGAGGTATATTGTATTATTGCTCACTGGTGTATCCTTGTTTTGACTGGATAAAATCCTTAATCTAGACAACAATATGACACCCTACTGTTTTAGACGAGGAGCTGCCAACACGCTTTCTCGTGTTGTGGGTTCTGAATTGAGCAAGTCAATCCTACACCACCGGCAGCACTCTGCGACTTTGTATGATCGGTATATCATGTCAGCAAGTGAGGTGGACCTCATTGAGGCTGTGGCCTATGGCAAACACGATCACGTTTTGGGTTTATCTCCTCTTGACGCACCTGCACTCTGGCGGTATGGAGTTTTATGATTATATGCGGCTGAATTTGCTTATAATTGGATATGAAGGCCAAATAGGGATGAATTAGAGGGCGTTAAGATGCTTTCACTCGAGGAGGCTATTGTTATGTCTCCTGATCTTCGGCAGTTGACAATGCAAAAAGCATTTCTTCGCCAGCAATCCAAAATTGAAGGCGCAGAGTGGACTGACATTAAGGTTAGCAGCCTTTTGTATGCGCAGTTCTTGGCTACATTAAACCTGGACACTTCTAGGAGTCTCTATCGCCTGATGATATCTCATATGTGGAGAGTATTGTCACCAAGGATCCTGATGCCAATGCTTGTCTGGCCCTCTATCGCCGTATTTCTATCCGAGCAAATCGGCAATATTCTGATATGCGGCAGCGTTATGCAGCACTACAGCGCCGCCATGCTCTCAACAATGCAAAGCCTTTGACTATAGACGAGCTTGATGCTCGTCTCCGGGCTTCGCACAAGGGTTCCGATCTTAGCAGCTTATTGAAACGAACAGTAGAAGTGGCAGCTTTAGAGATCAGCGACAATTACACCGAGGATGAAGAGGTCATGGAGTGTAATCTACAGGAGAGCGATGACATCAGCGACCCATCTGTTCAGCTGCAGGAAAGTCGCATCATGCTGTTGAGGTATGTGGATTTTATCCTAAATTTTCATACTGTTTATTTCTATTGCCACACATAGACAACTTGTTGCTCATGAAGACCCCCATGATGGCCCTCAAATTTGCGTGATATGCAATGCTGATGAAGCTCTCGCAGAAGAAGTTCGTACATTTCAACATGTGTCTAGGTCAAAACTGCAGCGTCACATTGAAATTTGGCATTCCGGCCGAAATGATATACATGAGCTTGGTGCGAAGAAAACAATTTCCTTGTCGGAACTCGCGGGTCAAGTTGGTGATTGCTCACTATTAGGTATTAATGCCGCTTTTGCTTGTGAGACCGCGTTGCAGAAATTCAAAGTATAGCAATGTCTTCTGTCCTGGTTAGGTACATAATCCATCATACATGTACAGTAGGCCGCCGCCGTGCATGTAAAACGATTGTCTTCCAGCAGCCAATACTGTAATATCGGCAAAAGTGACAGGTGGATCTGTACTGAGTCACGGTGTCACAGTCTTACTGTAGATGCTTGCAGACTGAGACGACAAGCAGTTGCCGACTACGCCTATTGTACTACTATGCCCACTGCTCCGTTTGACCAGGAGTCATTTGCACACTCTGGATTACCTGTTGGACGCTCTGCTAATGGCCAGCATGTCATGGAGACGCTGAAAAGAGGCATGCCAGCTGGGCTAGCCTCTGACCGCAAAAAGTGCGTATATACCAGGTATCCCCTATGGAATATGCTCATTAGTCCAATGGCTATTCTCTAGGTCGCAAGGTGTAGATGCCCTCATTCACACTAACCAAAGCAGCACCGTCCCCACACTTATTGTTCCACCTCCAAAATCACGCAAGAGCCGAGTACGCAACCACTCACACGGAGGAGCACCGGCCTCGGAGAAAACCCCCAATTGGGCTAACTTGGTTTGTCGGCGCAAGCCTCTTATCATTGACAACCTGCTAATATGTCGATTAGCCTATTGGGCTTGGCCGCCCTGCTCTGACTGAGCCCGAGGAGATAGCTATGCTGCGTGGCCTGCTGACCAATTGGCCTGCATACTCGAACGCCTCAAGGGCCGAATTCAATCAAGTAATGACCTTCTACAAGGCTCGCATGCAGCGGCAAATTGAGCTGTCCGATCTACAATCCAAGAAATATTTAGTTTTCGTAGATGCAGTCAAGCTACTTGTCGATATGCAAACTGCATATACACAACTTCAGATGCAATCCATGAAGAACAATAGTGGAGATCTTGGCAGAATGGCAGACGAGGCGTTCGAGGCCATTCAATGGTTGCAGAGTGATGTGCAGGCAGCGGGGAAGAGCCTAGTCGTATGGCTCAAAAAATAATGGCAGTTACCAAAACGTTTGTACGAGTCTGCTAAATCCTGCTACTAAAAAATGATTGTATGCGTTACTTATGATGGCAGCGGCCGTCAAGATGATTTACATAAGCACCACTAGCATTTGCCCAGGCAGGACGCTGCAAAATCGCTACCTGCTTTTGCAGCGTATCGTTGCTTACAAAAACCAACTTTTGTACGATGGATTCGCCTCCTCGGGTTCCACAAAGAGGCAATGGGGTAAAGCATTCACACTTGGGCTGTGTGTACGTGTACCGTTGCTCAACCGCACCCCAGGCTCCTGCAAATCGAAGGGATATTTTTATCCGCCAGGAAATGCGCAGTCTCAAACTGCGACACCCTACGATGTCTGCTGAACAAAGGTACTAGCCATGCGTCGAACACTAGTGTTGAAATATTTATATATCATGTTTTTTTGTAGATGGTTCAGTGCGTTTACTAGCTGGGCTGTAAAAAATCGGGACTCAGCCGGATGGAATAGCGAATCTGTGGTTATTCAGAAATAATCTCTTGCTCATGAGTAAGATACTATGTTGTTGCTACGCGGATGAGAGGTTGGGATGTACTACTACGGAGTGCATACATGGCTGAAATAATACCTACGGCCCGACCTAGCCTCTCAAATGATGAGCTCACCTTCAATTCGTGCCCACCTTTGTCACCGAGCCCGTCTCTTGTTTCTTGACTGTCATGTCCCTGGACGCCCTTCTTGTTGCCCGCGAAGATGCTCTCTTGAACGACATTCTCAGCATCCAAGGCCGGATTTCCTCTCTTGATCGCCTTCCACCTTCTGCATCTCTTGCTGTTCGCCTCGCTCGTAAACGAACTTGCACAACTCTCACTCGACTTGCCCCTGC